TTGGGGATCGTTAGGGCATGTTCGATAACCAAAAAATCGATCATGACACATGTCATGTTATTTTTCTGATGACCAGAAAATGTGCAAAAAGGGACATGGGTACAGTTATAGCGACACGACCGGACGGTATTTTCTAATTTATGACCTTCAAGTATGTATTTCGCAAAACAATCGATTCGTTTGATATGAAACTTATGTAGTTTAGGTAAATAAAGCTATTTTTGAAATAAAATTATTATTTTCGATTTTCCATTTAATGGTATGGGTAAAATAAGTAAGTACTTTTATTTTTCTTCTCTGATTTGCTTCAAAATCGGCCAGTGGAGTTCTTTTTGGATTCTGAACAACTTTTTCTTATAAAATTTTTTGATATCTTGCCAAATTTACCCGTTTTTCGACATCAATATCAACGTTTTTCAATATTTCCGCTAAACCGATAATCGCATGACATGTGTCATAATTGATATTTTGGTTATCGAATATGCCTAAACGATCCCAAAAAAAAGTTTTTTGAAAAAAGGAATAATTAAGAATTTTCCCATATGTACCCAACTTTATGGCGCACACTCTATATTGTAGCTGAAATGAAATGGTCACGGCTTCAAAGGGGTAGTTTCTTATTTTAGAAAAATCATTAGGGGGGGGGGGCCAAGCCCCATCTCCAACACAGGAGGGGTTATATTGGAAATGAGATATAGGACAACAATTGAAATAAGATAATGTTTTTATACTCATAGAATCTTATCTGCTATACCTGAGCGGCTAAAGTAGACCTTTTGAAACTCATGGTCATTGGGGCGAATTTACCTGTATGCATAATCCAACAGGTTATATATTTAGGATCTTCCTAATAGCATTTTTTCTCTAAGAAATATTCCTGATTGCTGCTTTTCTAATTGTCACCCTGTATATGTTCGACCTACACTTAAGCGTAATTATAGCTGACCGATGTACGTAAAAACTCAAAGGGATTGAATTGAGATATTATTAATGAAGTTATGACTTTTTCAAAATATTGATGTTTTGTAAAGTAATACTCTACAAACAGTTTTTTCACTCAAAAACTGAAATGAGTGTAGAGTTGAAATTTTGAGGACTTTTTCCCAAAGATTCAATGTAAAAAATACTAAAAACCCAAAGGGATTGAATTGAGTTATTATCAATGGAGTTATGACTTTTCTAAAATAATGATGTTTTGTAAAGTAATACTCTACAAATAATTTTTTCACTCAAAAACTGAAGTGAGTGTAGAGTTGAAATTTTGAGGAATTTTATTAAAGATTCAATGTAAAAAATACTAAAAACTCAAAGAGATTGAATTGAATTATTATCAATGGAGTTATGCCTTTTCTAAACTAATGATGTTTTGTAAAGTAATACTCTAGAAACAATTTTTTCACTCAAGAACTGAAGTGAGTGTAGAGTTGAAATTTTGAGGACCTTTTCCTAAAGACTCAATGTAAAAAATACTAAATACTCAAAGGGATTGAATATGACTTTTCCAAAATAATGATGTTTTGTAAAGTAATACTCTACAAACAATTTTTCCACTCAAAAACTGAAGTGAGTGGAGAGTTGAAATTTTGAGGACTTTTTCTGCAATCCAATGCACGGGCTACGTTAATCACCCTGTATATACATGAACAATTTTTTCTGCCGCTTTGTTATTGTTTTCAGGTTAGCCCCCCTGTAAACAAACAGAATCCAGAAGTCGTCGGATGACTCTAAGAGTCTATAATAAGAATCTTCTTCTCGACGGATTTTTGACAAAGGTAAGTACATATTCATCAATTTCCCATTTTATTATTTTTCACTAAAAAAGTTTGAAATTTTAGTCTGATGATCTCCTAACTTTCCTCTTTTTCTCCTGAAAATTTCACAATTTTCCCTCTAGTAGTTTTCCAGAAAAAATTAAATTGTATAAAAGTGCATTTTCGTTTGATATCCATAAAAATTGTGTCACTTCTATTTCTTAGGTAAGCCGTTACCCAATAAAGTCCAGAATCATTCTGAGCCCAAGTGGAATATTAGGCTATTAATTATTTCTGGTAAAAATCTTAATTGTGGTTTATAAATGCAAGGTAATAATACATTTTTCACATATACAATAGAACCTTGATTATCCGAGCTCTGGATAAATCAAGCCAGTCTAAAGACCCAAAAATCCGAGTTCCATACTCCGTATTAACCGAGTTTCTGGAATATACCATACATAGTATAAAAGTTCTGAGACCTATTTAGCCCTTAGACTGATACCCCAGAAAATAACTTCTGTTTATAACTGGCCAGTCACGAATATTTACCTACACTCTTCATAGGTATAAATATTCGGATTATCCGAGTTTTCAGTTATCCGAGGTCCACGTTACTTTGGATAACCGGGGTTCTATTGTACCTACCTACATTAGTGCTTTAGTATTTTGGGTGTTGGATATTGGAAGCTGAATAAATAAGTAATTTTTAATATAAAACATTGAATTTTCACTAACAAAGTTGTTTTTCCAGACATCCCTTTTCCAAATTTTGAACCATGAAGTGATGAGCTGGTTTTGGTCATGGATATGATACAAATGGATCAATAAAGGCTAAGTTTATCATTACTTTGGACATTGTACAGCCACTCTAGACATGGGACAAATAACTAGGATTTGTGGACATTGAAACAAATGACTGACAATGTTAGACGTAGCCACAACCGACTGGACAATGATGGACATGACTGCATGGCTCCAAACTTTTATTACTTTTCTCTTCCAGGTGAAATTACATATGTGTCAATTCCCGAAAACAGTTCATGATTCGACTGAATCTTTAAAGCAGGGAAGCCCCGGGGGAGCCTAATGCCATAGTTGTCCTGGACCTCATTTGTTGCACTAAATATACACCGTAAGTATGGTAAGTGTTTGCAGTGGTGCCTTCCTAGCTGGCGAGTGAAGGTTGAATTAATGGATAGTTGACGGTTTTGGCTGTACAAGTGTAATTTCAAAGTGCATTAGGCCTAACGGGGAAAGCACTTGAAAAAAAAAAAAAAAACGCACCGACAGCTCGTACCTCTAGGGTGGTGTGGAAATTGGGCTTGAAGTTACAATTTTGAAACTTAACAAGGTAAGTCTTTATGAAAATTATAAACTTTTTGTTATAGGGCAGCACTAATAACCGAGAGTTTTAAGCTTAAATCTGCAAGACTTGTGACTGGAATCCAGAATCATGGTAAAAATCCTGATAAGTTTTTTTCATTTTGGACATTGGAATCAAGAATCAGACCTATTTCCAAATTGGGGAAGAGATGGCTTTTCAATGTTTCAAGTTTGAGTTAATTTTTCCAGGAAAAAAAGATCTCAGGTCTCAGATCAACTTCCAACTTCCAGAAACAAAATTCAAGTTTGGAAAATTTGTTTTCATGATTTATATAGCTTTTTGGATCTATTTTGACTATGAAAGTTGTGTTTTGGAGCAATGAAAGGGCAATTTTACACGAGTTTCCAGACTGTGAAATTGGAAATTTGAAATTTTCCGATTGATTTTTTATTACTTACATTCATTTCACTATCTTATGTATGTACAAGATTATCCAACAAAAGTGCTTTCTACCTTATATACCTGTTATAATTGAAGAGGTAATATCTCAATATCCATAAGAGGTATCGTGCCAAATTTTTCTGAGATTGTAGCTCTTACTGAATGCTTTGATGTGGTATTTGAGAAATATTTGTACCACCAGTGGTTTTTCAGCAATTTCAACTTGAAGTTTTGGATGAAATTAAGGCAAAATTCCAACTTTGAGGGAAAAAGCCCATTCCGGCAAGCTACATGGAGTGGCCAGTATCATGGCCCTGGAGTCTAATAAAAAGGAGATGTCTAGAGACCGCACTTTAAGGACAGATACGAGATACCACAATAAATCTGACAAGATTGCAGTGGTAGAGGGCGCCTCTGCGCTATCTCCATTCAAACAAATCCATTCTATTACTATACATTATATTATCACGATACTAAATAACGCTTACCAATGTGAACACAACAACGCCCTGCATCGCACGCGTTGGCATCGCTAGAACGGCATCGCTCAACGCTCACCGCTTGAGCGGTGTCAATGTGAACGCGCACTTAGTTTTTTTTGATTTTCTCAAAAACTAGAGGAGCACCTAATTAAAGGCCCTAATTAGCACCTAAAAAACACCTAATTATTATATAGATCCCGGAGTTTTTTTGCCATTCTGACATACCAACAAGTAGACGTAAAGCCAGCAGTCCCCTTATAATTAGAAAAAAATCTGTAACTCAGTTAATAATTAATCAATTCTATTTTTTCTTCGACTATTTAAGAGCACCTAAAAAGCACCTAATTCTGATACAAAAGAAAATTTTGGAAAAATATTTTCTACTATAGGGGACTACTAGCTTTCATAAACCTAGCAATCCATACGTTTTTTTTGATTCTCTCAAAAACTAGAGGAGCACCTAATTTTTAATTAGAGGCACTAATTAGCACCTAATTATATTATTATATAGATCCCGAAGTTTTTTTGCCATTCTGACACACCAACATGTAGACGTAAAGCCAGCAGTCCCCTTATAATAAAAAAAAATCTGTAACTCAGTTAATAATTAATCAATTCTATTTTTTCTTCGACTATTTAGGAGCACCTAAAAAGCAACTAATTCTGATACAAAAGAAATTTTTGGAAAAATATTTTTTACCATAGGGGACTGCTAGTTTTTATAAACCTAGCAGTCCCTTAGTTTTTTTTTGATTTTCTCAGAAACTAAAGGAGCACCTAATTTTTAATTAGAGGCCCTAATTAGCACCTAAAATGCACCTAATTATTATATAGTTCCCGAAGTTTTTTTCCACCAAACGCCTTGGATCTTTTTGTAGTTTTCAGTTTTAATTTTTTTCTTATCGAAAATTTTGTAGTACCTATTTTTTTTTTTACAAATATTTTCATTGATATGGAGCTTGTGAGGATATCAAAGTGATTCTTATAAATAAAACTCCATTAAAGTTGTACAAGCATTTCATTTATTTAAATCAATAATAAATCAATGATAATAATTATACATCAGCCAAAGGCCTACAACAATAAATTCTATAGGTTTATATTTTTTTTTATATAATAATATTATCCGTCATTTATACAATATTATTTATCAGAATTGAACAAAAATAATAAATAATTTAAAAAGAAAATTACTCGGCAAAATACACAGCAATAATGAAAGAGTTTATTTTAGTTTGTCTGAATAGGCCTTCTATCTACTTGTGTTTCATAAGGAGTGATAATTTTTAATAAAATAAATTTCTGATGACGGTCTGATACAAATATCAGTCCAACAAAAATTGACTACATTATAGTTTTATAGATATATTAATTATAGTAAAATTTTTCTTATATTTTATCACAATTAACTAACAAATTTTTACTTAAGAATTAGTTGGTAAGCAGCTTTAGCAATAGGGGTACAACGTACATCATTTTTGTTTTAAAAATATCAGATATTGTTCATTGCAGTTTTTCTATTCAATTTTTAAGACATATGGAAAGTTTCTATAATAAAAAACTCAATACTGGATGAGACCCGAGACCCAAAGTGCTAAAATTTCTTACTGTTAGACTAAAAACTTAGTGTAGCATTATTGGACAAATTGTTCGCTGTTCTATGTTTTAGGCATTTTTTTCAATACTAAATTAAACAAATATAAATAAGCAATCATACATTATGGAAGATCTTTCTCAAAATGCTGTTCAATATAGGCGGAGTTCATTTAAAGCTCTAATTATATGTTTATGTATTAAAAATAAAAATTTCATATTTTGAAATAAATAAATAAGCAACAATCGAGGCCATATTTATTGATGTTTATGTAGCAGGCCTACTTTTTGAGCCTTAATAATTGAAAATGATATGAAAAGTTAGAATTTCATTTAGAATAAGGAACACATATCATTGATTTTTTCTATATAAAACTTTACTTATGGGATTTTAGAATCTAATCCTAGCTTTTTTTTAAATTAGTTACGATAATTTTCAATTTTTAAGCTTACTGATTAGAAATTGAAAATCAATTGGCTAGAAATTACTCTTATCTACACTAAGTACAAATAAACAGCAATTAATTCATTTAATTTCGCCATCCTAGAACCTATTGTGCATTATGAAAAACTACGTCATTACAAAATTTACATTTAAATAACGCTACTACTGGTCGATGTCTGGTGATTATTAATTTTTAAAATCCAAAGCTCTACTTTTGACGTTAAAAACCTAATCACCGATAAAAATTTTTCGTGAACAATATTATTCCACGCAGGAAGACTAAAAAAAAAAATTACTCCAAACTTGAAGTTGACGTACAAAAACTGAAAATCAAGCAAGGTTTCAGTCCAGAGTGCAATTTCAAGCAATTTTTTTTTGCGGTTTTCATCAACACTTAACTAATGTCTTTTTCACTATCTACATTTATTAGTTTAGTACAACCAAAGCGTAAATCAGTTATTAATCTTATTCAGTAACAAGGTAAGAAGTTGCTAATGTACCTAAAAGTTACTCGATTTGTACAAAAAGCAATTTGTTGGAAAATTTTAGATGATGGTAATACTTAAAGCTCGATAGGTACCTACTTCAAGCTTTAAAATTACCCAGAAATGTTTTAAACCAATAAAAATATACATAAAATAAGTAAAAAATGTGAGTAGGTACCATCTTTATATACATAAATAGAAAGTGAAAGGGGGTAAAGAGAGATCTAAGTTTTTTTTCCTTCATTAGGTTTAATAGTAATCATTAAGATTCGCACCATTAGTGGATATGTATGTTTGAGTATTTAGTAAAAATGCGGGGCGAGCCTAAATTAATTAAGTAAGTAATTGAAAAAATGGCGACTGGGGGAATACTAAATTACGATTCATAATTTATTAGTGTTCAGTGAAAACTATTTGAGTACTATATTTTATTACTAAACACCTGTTTACTTACTGGAAATTATTAATTTTATACTGTATCTGTCTGAGTCCTGGAAATGGCTCATTAGTCACCTCATAGGAGAAAAACCATCAAATTTGCAAAATGATGCTTCAGAATCTAAAGGTCTAAAAATCTTAATAAGGGTCTTCTCATAGAAGAACGGGAATATTGCAGAAGAATAATTTAAGATCTGAGAATTTTTTTAGAGATGAACCAGGGAACTTGCAAAGCAATAACTCAAGATTCAGGATGATAGTTGTTCCTCATAGACCCTGAGATAGAGACTGTTTAGTGGAGTCATTTTTGGCTGAATGTGGCTAGTTAATTGATGAGGATATAAGTGGTTTCAATGCTTACTCCTCATTCGAAATTTCCACGGAATGTTTTGCGGATTTGCTCGATTTCGAACTGTGATTACTGTCTGGCGATTTTTCAGCGTTATTTTCACAAGAAAACCTTTTATTTCCTTGATTGCCAGAAAGAAAGTCAATGCGGAAAGTTCCATACTTTTCTCTTGTAAGTTGACACCCATCCCCACTTTTTCAGCCATTGAAAAACATCTGCTTACTGCTGTGTTGTGTTTAGAGTTAATTTTTGTTTAGGAAAAGGGAGGGGAATGGGGAAAGAATGGGATAGAAAGGAATGGGAAAGGAGGGAAGGGGATTTCATTCAACTAGAAGAGAATAGGAGCTTTTAAATTTCGTAGGCGAGTCCTGTCAGGGTTAAAGTTATCGTCGAATAATTTTTTAAATAATGTTATTGGTATGGTTAATTACTGAGTCAAGAAACTAGGTATGTTTCTCAACAAGGTACTCCTGGATTGTGTCGACGCTCAGATCCCTATGTAGGTCCACCAAGACTGGAATACGTACAGAACAAAACTTACGCAGTACAACAAAAAGATCCGCAAGGCAAAAAGAATGCCATAGGAGTGATTCTGTGAAGAAATCACAGAAACGCCAATGTGCGCTAGAGTGCACAAAGTCCTTGTAAGGGAAGGTACTGCCGACGCTCTCGGCCCCTCGAAAAGATCGAACGAGGCCTACACGAGCACTAACGAGGAAAGCTTAGGGCTATAGTAGATACCCATTTTCCAGGATCATCTATGATCAATCTAGGCCGACATATCAAGTCGGAAAGCCCAGAAGGCCATTAAACTGGGAAAGAGCAAAGGAACTGGTGACATATGAGAGAATTAAATGGGCCATAGGCGAGTTCCACCCCTTTAAATCGCCAGGTCCGAATGGAATCTACCCAGCACTACTCCAGAAAGGTTAGGACATACTAATACCACACCTTTGCAACATTTTCAGAGCATGCATTGCTTGGGGCCACATACTAGAAGTTTGGTAAAAGGCGACAGTCGCCTACCTGCCAAAGATTGGCAGGTGCCTAGACAAAACGCCCAAGTCATCAAACTATTAGAGCACAAGAGATGCTAGCCCTTAACGTCATTGCAAAATATAATCGCTCTCAGCACATCCCTGCAAAATGTAATCGTTTGTAACACTACGTGGCGGATCTAGCCTCAAATTTTACTTGTTAGATGCAGGGGTCACTCTTAGAAGTTAATTATTATTGTTAGTATTGTGTGTTTTCATTATGGATAATTTAATTCAACTTATTAATCCATTGGGTAACAATGGAAATGTTAATATATTCAAGTATGAAAATCAAAACAATTAAATAGCAGTACTTCGCTTAAAGTTAAAAGGGAAATCTGACGAAGAGTGCAATTCTGACGACTTTAACTTACGTTGCAATGAGTGGGTGAATGAATTTTCAATAATAACAAAGACACAATGGATAATGGACACACCAGAATAATAGACGAATACTGCCATAAATGAAAGCTCAAGCTAAACCATAAGACCAACACCATCCACTTCAATAAAAAAAGAAGGTCAGACCCAAACCACATCGCCATAAATGGTAATGAAATAACACCATCTGAAAATGTTACCGTATTAGAAGTAAACCTAGATAAGAAACTCAACTTCAGAGAACACTGCACTTGGGTTAGAAGAAGAGCAGGACAAGCAGTTTCATCCATTTACCCTTTTCTCTCCACAGGTTGTAGGCTGAACCCAGAAACAACAATAGGCCTATACCGAGTGCCTATACGGATAGTGAAACAACTTTGCCAAAACTGCAGATTATTGTTTCGTAAACAATACGTGCCATCACAACAGCTTTAATAAAGTATCGGCAGATAAAAAAAACTATCAAACTTTATATCATTGAAATCAGCAAAAACAGAGCTATCCAATGAGCTATTAATAGTATAGTGTGTTTTATTAAAAAATATTGGACTATGGTCGATATCTCGAAATCGGAGCGAAAAAAACTGAGTACGCCACTGGATTGTGCTCAAAAAAGTATCTCCAAAATGTTTTTACAGAAATAAAAAAAATTGATAAACAAAAAACTTATAGCTATTTGTCATAATAGGGAAAATCGACAATCGCCAGGTATCAATGGTACCATTAAAGATATCGTGATACGGTTTTTGACAACCGACGTTTCTCGAAAATCGATCCCATGACAGGTTAATTTTCTTCTATCTGGTCTAGAAGTATGTTTTTCCTGGTTAAAACACTCCAAATTGCAGCACCTTGTAAATTTTTAAAATTCGATAACTGCATTCTTTTTGAATTGATTTATTTATATGAATCAGCCGCACGTTGTGCTGTCAACGATTAGATTTTGCAGGATTGTGCTGAGCGCAATTATATTTTGCAATGTTAGAGTCACTTATGCTCTAATAGTTTATATTTAGTAAAATCGCGCCGAGGCCGATTATATTTTGCAATGACAAAGTTGGGGGCGTGTCTTGCGCTGTAATAGTTTATATTTAGTAAAATCGCGTCCTTGTCGACGATCTCCTGGCAAAAATGGCCAAGGAGAGATTCTACTGCCTTGGCTACTCGGATGATATAGTCCTGGTAGTCAGAGGCAGACATCTAAAACAGGCAGAACTCAAAAAGCACTGAATATAGTAGATAACTGGGTGTAGGAATGAAGGCTTGTCGGTTAATGCGCAAAAAACCATAATTGTCCCGTTCACAAAGAAAAGAGTGCTAAGAGGACTTCGATGTCCTAAGCTCAATGGAGCGGATATCCCCTTCTCAAAAGAGGTTAAATATCTAGGAGTTATTCCACACCTCAATAAAGTTGTCCAGAAGGCCAAAATTTCTCTGGGTAGATGCAGAAGGCTCTGTGGAAAAAGCTGGGGACTTAATCCAAAGATGAATCTATGGTTATTCAAAATAGTGATAAGACCAATGATAACCTACGGTTCGGTTGTCTGGGGTACAAAGGACCGTAGCGATCAGACAGCTTCAGAGTGTGCAAAGGCTAGCCTGCGTATGCATCACGGGTGCCATGAAAACAGCCCCAACCGCAGCCTTGGAGGTGCTGCTAAACCTGCCGCCACTACATATTTACATACAGGGTGAAGTAAAGGCGGTACTATACAGACTGAAGCAAGGCCAGGGTCCAATTATAAAACACTAAAGGCCCATGAACTGGAAAATTGAGGAGGACCCAGAGGTCAACTCATTGTTCGGGATGCCCTCAAACAAAACAAAACCTATTTTTATCTTCAATAGGCACTTCCGGGGAGGAAAGACTGGGAGAAAGGTCCTCCAATTAAAGCAGACCACATCTGGTACACCGACGGCTCCTAGACCAGAAAGGGGGTCGGAGCCAGCATCTACGGGGACAAACCTAGGGTGGAAATATCCACAAGTCTCGGACAGTACGCCACGGTGTTTCAGGCGGAAATCGTTGCAGTAATGCACTGTGCCATATTGATAAATGAAAGGAAAGTTGGGAGTAAACATCGTTATTTACTCGGATAGCCAGGCGGCCCTAAAGGCAATCAGCTCCCAAAAGATCAGCTCCAAGCTGGTTGAGGACTGTGTTCGTGCCCTAGAGGAGGTGGGCCTGTCCAACAAACTTACCATAGCCTGGGTACCAGGCCACGAGAGCCACCCAGAAAATGAAAAGGCTGATCTAGGTCCACATTGCGAACATACCACGGAGCGCCGACCATCCTTCAGATTACCTTGTTCTGAAATGTCTGCAGTTTCTTCTTGTTTTGTCGTGAAGTCTAAGAAAAAAACTGGTGCGCCCTTAAGTAAAGACGGTCTTATGACTTGTTTGTATAGTAAAAGTTTGTTCACGAGAGTAAATTTACTATCCTTGTTACGTTAAAAAAAAAAATGCTTCATGTAAATGAATTTTTTTCTTCTAGAAATTTTCAAACGGGTGGCAGGCAATAAAATCACCCATATTCTCATCAGCTAATTGGTTATTCCGCTCTCAAAATGCCAGACAAAAAAAAAACTACTCTAACCAGTCCCTATTTCAGGGTCTATTAGAAAAAACAACAGGTTATTTACGGCAAGACATAGAGATTTATAAAGTTGTTAGATATTGAAATTTTAAGTGTTTCCAAATGGAATAGAAAATTTGATTGCATTCCCAAGAATCTCCATAAAGAAGAATCAGGAAGTTTGCTATGCAGACCCATATTGATTGCTGTTAACATTTTTGAAAATTTTCAATAAGTTGCGGGGGCGAGTGATTTTGTATTGTCACAAAGTAACGGACCAACCCATCAATAATTATTGTTTGAAAGTAATGTGCTCATAGAAATTTGTAATTTATCAGGATTTGATTCACCTCTATTCGCTAAATTAATAAAATTCTTTATTCAAGTTCTTTCCATTCCCCAGTCGCTAATACTTCTACATAAATACGGAGGCACTAGAGTCACTAATCACTAATCACTAGGATAGAATAATTAGTTAGTTTTACAGTACGAAATAGTTATTTGTCTCTATATTTGTAAAGTTATCGTTATAAGGCAGCAAAGAGATATTTTTAGCGGGGATTGCAACAGATTTTTTTTTGTTCTTTTTATTAGATGGGTTAGAATTATAACAAATACGCGCAGATGCACCTTTTGGCACCAAAAATTCAACTAATGCATCTGCTAGTATAAGTTTCAACTTGTTTTTTTTTAAACATTTATACACGGTACATTGAATTCGTTTTGATTGCAAAAGAAATTGAAGCAGAAGTATCGTAGCTGGCAGTATATCAAGCCCGGACCTCAATAAAGGGAAATTAGACGTCCTGTGCCATAATTAATGGTCTCCAGAGTAATTCGAGGAAGGAGTATAAATTTTCACTGTGACAACGGTAAGTCGATATTTACGGGACGGCACAAATAATGATACCTATGTTAGGAATTTGGGTAAAATTGAAATTGGTTTCGAGGGTGATATTTAATATTTGAAAAACAGTACTTGCAATCAAAACGTAATCCAATGTTATCTTCTACTTGGTTTTTACATTATACAGTTTTCAATTTTATTTTTTATTTATTTAGGGAAACCAGGTACTTTGGGAATAAAACTTTGAAATATAAATAATCAGAAAACTAATTAACTTGTAATAATTGATATGTGTATAAAGTTTTAAGTATATAATTAGTAGTACTTCGATGATAATTTAATGATATGCATAGTTGTTTTAGAAGGTGGAATATTTGAAAATTTTTATCAATTATTATTGTAAAATCCCTCAAATATCCCGAGCTTAAATTGCTATTATTGCAGGAACCAAATTAACCACTTAATATATTTAGATAGGTAGTAGAACAAAAGCTTGAACATTTATATACTTAATTATCTCCTTAAAATTCTAAAGATATGTTTCAAAATTCGCCAGACTGAGGTCATTCTAGTATCCGTTTCACAAACCAAAGTTTCGAACCCAAAGCACCTTCGTCCTCAGTCACAACTCACAACCTCTAAAACACGTAAAATCGTTCAGTTTTTTTTTTTAAGGGGGTCTTCTACATTTATAGCAAAAAGCGATTTTTTTTCTAAATGCCACTGCGCACAACGGCGGAGATAATATTCTATTATCTTTTTTACATTTATGTATTGTGTCAAATTCACATATTCAGTTCTGAAACGGAAAGTCAATTTGCATTGTTAGTTTTTTGTTAATAAGAAACTTACCTCTTTCTAATTACCCTACGCAAGTAAGCCGCTGAATACGGTTAAAAGAAGCGCTAGAAGTGAAACTGCAGATCTCATTTTGGTGTGACGTGGTTTTATTGTGCCTACACCGTTGGTGCAATTTTGCGTTTGTGGTTTTTGTTGTAATTCCACTAGAATAATAATTTAGCAAATTTACACAAAAGTGTTACAGTACAACTTACCAGTAAGCTGTTGTAATTGAGGCAAGTACTTTTTCCAGAAAGCGCACTGCTTTAATCTTGGGCCTCTACCCGTTGCAGTACTATTTACATCCAATGTCAGGTACTCTCTCCCATAAGCTGTGTGTAGAGGCCAAAAAGTAGCAGTCCAAACTCCATTAGGAGCTAATGACGGATTACCTGATCCACAACAATTATCAATTCTACGAATTTATACGGAAAATAATATTTTACCTGTTTTGGCAAAATTCGCAAAATATCTCATAATTCTTTTAGATAGATCCACCTCTTGGGCTGTATAAGATTTGGCGGGGTTCAAGGGCTCTCCGAAAACGTAATTTATTTCTTCTGCGTGCATCACTCCCGTCCACGAAGGCCAAGGATTGGCAACCTAGAATTTTCAATAAAGTTCAAAGCCAAGACTTTCCTCACTTCTTACCGTTCGATGTTTGAAATAATACATGTACACGTTATTGCCAGTTTCGGCGTATCTATGAGCAAACTCGTTGACGTTACATGTGAACTGATAATCTCCCACCATTTTATCCAAAGCATCCCTGTTAGCTACCGGATCGTCTGGATTCAACCAATCCGTGTATTCAAATACAATTGCTTGACGGGCTGCAGGACTTACATAGGGGTTCAGTTCAGTGACTGCTCTTAGAAACTCTTGTCTGGAAATATATGTTTTAATTCACAAAATTATATAAAATACATTGACAAGTTTTACCTGCTTATATACACATTTTCCTCTTTCCTAAACAACTCGGTGAGATAATACATTATAAAATAGTAACCCTCTTCAGTGTTAGAACCCATTAGGATATTAGTCTTTTTGAAATTTTTATTGGCCATTGCTCGCGCTGGAGACTCGTCTAGAAAAGCTCCGTCGATAATAGGAACGAAAGGGAACTCGCAAATACCTAAAAGAATAAAAATCGACCAGGTTAAAACTAGTTTCAAATAATAGTCATCGTTCGTACAACCTCATTATTGTCTTATGATCCAAAATAAACTTACCCAAAGTGCCCCATTCATTATTAACTAGATCCACAGGATCTTTTTTCTTCAAACAATCAACAACTGCACCCAAATTGCTCCTATCGTGAGGACACTTGACAGCTTCGGCCAGTCTCAGACCTCGCAAGATACTTTCTTCTCTTGATATCATAGCCCAAGGAGCAGTTGCACTACCCGATTCCATTATAGCCTTGAATTGTGAGTTTTAGAACAATTTTTAAAATAAGTATTTTGAATCTTACCTGCGAAAACAAATTTCTGGATAATGGCGAAAGTAAATGTAATGACACTGATACTGCTCCGGCACTTTCTCCAAACAAAGTAACGTTTTGTGGGTTCCCGCCAAAAGCAGCAATATTATCACGAACCCATTGAAGCGCCATTAGCTGGTCGAAAAGACCCGCGTTTCCTGGAGCATCTGCTGTACCAAAATAAAGAAAACCAAGCGAAGCTACACGGTACTGCATCGAGACTACTATGACGTTCTCTTCAGAAACCTATCAAGTTTGGTTAGCAAAGTTGTTGAAAATAAGACAGACTCTTACCAAAATATTATGATCATACACATCCAGGGTATTGGTACCTGAGTAAAAACCACCTCCAAAAACCCATACCATTACTGCTGCATTTGTAGGCCTTGGTCGTGGCGTAACCACGTTTATGTAAAGACAATCTTCGCTAATAGGTGTATTGGGGTTCCATATAGCAGCACCTAAAACAGAAATGTATGGGTGTATTTCAAAAGGTCACTTCGTTCCAAAAGAAAACGATAATAGGACCTATGGACATTGGTTTTCTTTGTTGAGTTACTCATTTAGATTCAAAAAGTAAGAATGTGATCTTACCAGAAAAATCTCCAAACAACGTATCGATAATTTGAACACAAGAATTCGGATGTTTGGTTGCGTTTAGGATACCATCCCATTTTTCAAACGGTCGTGGATGTCTGAATCTTAAATTATTCACCGGTTTTTGGGCGTATGGAATACCTAACCACGCATCTACCTGAAAGAAAAATTAAATCTCTAGAATATTGCAAAGCATATGCAAACCCGCCATATACCTTCTTTCCTGTTGCAGACGTTTGAGTAATACCTCTCACTTTGCCCTTAGTCGTTCGAATAACCAAAGGATCTTCATCTGTCGATGACAGTCTACTAGGAAAATCTCTTTTGTCGTCGGGTGCGTCCCTTCGAAATTCTTCCGAATCTTTATGGGGATCGAAAGGGTCCCGTCTCGTGTTGGTTCCTTGTTGTGCCATCAAGGGCTCTGCTCGAGGCCCCTCAACAGGTACGGAACGGTGCCGTCCGCGACGTGGTGTTGGTGCCGCAGGAGCCACAACTGCCAGAAGGAGCCCCACTAGGGGCCAGCAACCCCACCGCATACCCGACTAGGGGTTAACCGGACCTAGCCGGAACTAGAACAAAAAAAAAATTTACGTTTAAAAAAGATAAATTTTGATTGGAGGACATTCTATGTGCAGAATAAACGAGGTAGCCATTAGAACACTATTTAAAGGCTTAAATACTGCGGCGTCTATTAGATGTCTAGTTTAAGGCCGAGACGCCGCGAGCGTCGTCTTAATTAGAGCCGTTTTGGCTCTTTAATAAATAAACAGTGCCGCGCTTGGCCGCCAAATTTACAATTTACAATGCCAAATGAGCTCAAAGGAAGAGGGCGAACGCGGTTTTGAAACGTTCCTGAGCTTAACCGGAAACTGCAAACAAAGCGATATTTTTTCTTTAGCAATAACACACAACAACCGTTCATGAAACAGGCATAAAAATTTAAAAAAACTCTCTGCCGGAATCGGTTCATATAATCGTGACACCGAGAATGATAATGGTTTTGCTGAGATTTTAAGGAAAATTTTAGTGCGAAAAATTTAGTCTCATGACTCAAATGCGAATCCGCATACATATCATCCGAATCCGGAAGAAGTGGGATGAGTGACTGAAGAAAAATTTGTCTATCGTCTATGGGAAATACGAAAAAGCAGACCGTCGGAATAAAAGATCGAAAAAACCAGGTCCTATATTTGAAAGGGGTGTGCGCCAAAAATTAACGTTTTAGTGTGAAAAAATCTAAGAATAAGTGTTCAAACCTCGTTATTCTACGATAAACCATCGCTGAGATATACCATACCAGCTTAGAGTATGTGTGACGTCACGAGAGCTTTGTCCAACCGCGCTTCGCATTGTTCATTTGATTGTTCCCGGACGCATCAATGGTTTTTGTCAGGTCCGCAACTAGAACCCTCGGCGCCCAAGGCCAAACCAAATTTTGGCGCCTACTACTAATGCTACCACTGTATAAGGATACAGAGTGATCGATATTTCTTTATTCCCGGCTCTTGTGATGGTTGGTAATCGAAAAAATTTCACCACTGTATAAAGATACGGGGTAAAATTCTACCCACTGTAATTTGACCCATTTTAGGTTGTATTTTAAGGCCTCGGTACCAGAGGCGTATATTCGGGGGGGGGGGGGGGGGGGGGGGGTGGTAAGGGGGGTAACAAGGTAAACAAAGCAACAAGACAAGCTCACCCTGGAGTTAAAATTTACCCGGAGGAGACTCGCTATTGAGAAACCGTTCCTTACGTGTCCAGTCGCCATGGAGTTATGCTTAACCTGGTGGTGACTTACTATTGGAAAACAGGCCCTTAGGGCCTAATTTATAGTTGCTTCTTCAGTTTTCCTCAGACCTCAAGGAAGCCTTGAACGTTTAGAATTGACATGACTAGCTTGTCACATAGTAGCAAATGTCCATTTTAAACTCACGAACTTTGAAGGTTCCTGCAAAATACTTTCAGCCATCCAAGTAACTTGAATCTTGAATTTGTAGATCTCATGGAGAACTACAAAAAAGCTTAGTAGAGCTACCCCTCCACGGGGCACCGTTTTTGAGAAAATCGACTTCAAATCTTTCAATACATTTTCAGAGAAATTTCAACTTTGACGGCTTATATCTCGGAGACAGAAACAACTTGGAATATCAATACGAGCAAATTTGTAGATAATTTAATGCTCTTTCAAAAGAAACCGGATTCGCGATAATCGGTTCGAAATCACCAAAGTTATAAGCAAAAAGGTGGCGCCGTGTCAGGTCCCCAAAATTTTTTAAGAGAAAAATCTTTTTTATTTTTTTGCGGGCTTAGGAAGCGTCGGGGCAAAAAACGCCTAGAGACATTTTCGACTTATTTTTTGCTCCTCTATCCGATGGTAATTTTAATTTTTCAAAATTCGGAAAATTAAATGCAGCGCGCGTATACCCCATTACACGCCCTTTTTCAAAATAGGGGCTAAAACCTCTCCGGTAAGTCGTAGAGGGCTGAAACTTGAAAGTTCAACTTTTTCAGACCCCTTTCACCTACATTCCAAATTTCGTCCGAATCGACCCCAAAAAAAATTTCAGACCTACACTCTGGATGCGCCATTGCTCGGTACTTTGGCGCCCTAGGCTCGCGCCTAGTTCGCCACCTCCTAGTTGCGGCCCTGATTTTTGTTCAGATTATTACAGGTGGCACAAGAAAAACTTTATGTAAATTCAATGCACTTAACTATCTCGTGCGGCGCTTGAGCTCTCGTGACGTCATAAGGTGACACGCGCTATCTTCATAGAGCCGTAACTTCGATATTAATTGTCATAGAGGGGTGCGGCTTTCACTGTTAGTAGTTAAACAAAGCGGGTTCTACGACATAACGTTATCCTACGCCATCAATGTTACTCCTGAAGATAGCATCAGGCATTTATCAGGATTTCCCTCGGGGATTCTTAAGGCTAACATACTTCACTCATGCAGCCTACCTGTAATAATATACTTGATTGCTTGCCGAATTCCGCTGCGCGTCGTTCGGCAAACTGCAATCGCGTGCGGAAAAGTGGTACTTTCCGCACTAGTTAGGAACACTATTTTTTCTACGAGATGAAACTAATATTTTTACCTACATATTTATCAATTTAAGATATTTTTTTCAATTTTCCGTATCTGTACCTGTAGTATACGTATAATATCACGATAAATATATTGGATCAAGAAACAAGACTGGTAAATTTTAGGGGAGAAGAAATTATAGTTAGATTAGAAATGAGAAGAAATGGGTTTAATTTTTAATTATTATACACCTTATAAGCTGCAGGAACAACAGCACGATGCATGATCGAGTTTTAGAATATCTAACTTTATCAAGCAATGTGAGGAACCTTATTAAAGCATTTATTATTGGACTGTTGCTGCAAAATGAAGTTCCTAGTTCTAGATTGCCAAGGATATTTTACATCTAAATTCGAGGTTAAAGAATTAGCAATATATGGTGGAAAAATTGTGAAATCCTGGCTTTTTAAATCAAATACGCTATATAAAACTTTATCGAAATCTGATAGGAAGGCTGTCAAGTATGCGTTTCATAACATCCATGGGATAACTTAAATCGGATACTTATGCCTGAACTGAAGGATTTTGATACTATTTATGTTTAAGGACATATCAAAAAAGAAGGAGCTGCGGTCAAATTCCTGGAAAACCCCCAAAAATTTGGGGTTGGCTCGGATCAAACCCCCGAAATTTCAGATCAAAGGCACCGCCCATCTAGAAATTTTTCTACGGTATCGAAAAAGTTCACCAAACGAAAAAGTTCCCAGGCTCAGGTGCTCGTTATACTACTGATAGACAGACTATCAGCTTTGGCTGCTAGCTGTCAGATAGTGATACATGAAGCCGCCATTGACACCTGTACTACCTACCACCCAAGTCCACAATCAGATGGCACACTTAACGTACGCTAACCCTATTACCATTAGGATAACATTATGTCGTAGAACCCGCTTTGTTTAACTACTACTGTTATTCTTGGAATTTTTTTCTTTTTTTTTAATGGACTTGTTTTTTTGGCCTTTAAAAAATAGAGAAGCTCAAGAAATTTGAACGACATGAGTTGTGCCGCAGCCTTTCAAATACCATTTATAAAAAATCACTGATGTGCTTTAGTAAATTTCGCATCTATATTCCAGAATATGCTATTATTCCGACAGGCATCCGGGACGCATAAACGTAAAGTTTAATATGACATAAGCTGAACAGCCTCGAGCGATAATAATGAACACCAGGGACAAATAATCCTGGTGCAAGATAAGGCCCGATTGCTTCTAAGTGGCTCGTAATGCGGCTATTGTGCCACCGGATTAGATAGGTTCAATTGGCGCATTGAATGTGTGTCATCGGGGTTAATTTAGTTTGGGTTGGGGTTTAGAGAGGAGGATGTAGCTGAAATGGGTTTCCAATTTCCACACGACGGACAGTTTGATAATATGGTTTTAACAAAATACTTACGTAATAATTGTCAACAAGTTGTGGTAGATTCAGGCATTTTATCCTTCAAGTTCGGCTCCGAGCTAGAGCCTGGATTGGTACACCTGAAAAGATATATTATTTATCAGTACTTATGTTTCACAAAAAAATAAATATATATATATATATATATATCGATTTTCTCGAGTAGGTACATCAGATTTAATTTAGTAAATTGGCGAGCGGAACTGCCAACAATAGAAGCACGTATGTGCAAAACTGGCGGAGCTTCAAACCGATTTTATTATTGATAGCTTCAGCAGCTGGCGTTGAGTTTTATGTGCATTTATCCAGATGAAACGGAGGTTTATTTCATGATATTCGTATACTATCGCTTTTGAATGTAGAACAAGAACTTATACCTATTGTATATAAGTACCAAATTCTTCAGTATTGTTATTTCGGCATTTTATATGAATAATGAAGATAATTCCAAATAATCCAAGAGATAATAGTTTACGAGTAGTGTATAATTCACGTTATATAAATATAAACAAACGAAACGCACCCCGAAGGACCTATTAAAACGATGCAGTGTACACAGTGGGACTGTTGCGAGAAAAATATCGATTCAAAAGTATTTTATTTAAAGTTATGAGTTATTTCCGTGTCCCGAGAGTCGCCGTGGACCCGACACAAGTGCCTTCTGCTTATCTATTATTAAACAACCGCCTCAAATACACAATTGGACTTGAATTATGCAAACAGTCGCACTCGTATTTTGTGTAGCTTTTGACAGCTTTTTACCTTCTTTCAAGGCTGTTATCAAAAAATAGCAGAGTTAGGGCGATTGGTTTGTTCGTGACAATTGTTGTCGTTGTTCTGAAACTGAAGACAAATTTTTGCGTACCTAAATGAAAAAGTACTAAAGGTAATAGCGCTGTTCCTCAAAAACTGCGGCTTTTGAAACTCGGAATTTATCTTGAATTCTTGCCTCACGTCAATATTTCTGACAAAGCCATTTTTTGTTTGCTTTGCATAATATTTTGTAACTGAAGATTGTACGATTCAATTCAATTTAAAACAACAAATACCCACAATGATTTAGGATCAGAGTTTTCCAATGAAATTCATAAATATTGTTTTTTTTTAATGTAAAATCTTCGGCAGCAGTTTCGACGTTATTTGATAATTACATCTGGAGTTCCTCAGAATGGGCACCTCTCACCCTTTTTAAATAACATTTTTATAAATGACGTGAAGTTCTGCTTCAAGTACCAATACATTTTTTTAATGAAGTTAACGACTTTCTAGTGTATCGCATGACTCGTAGTAACGAAACTGGAGCCGAATTTGAGGCGCTGACTTTTCTCTAGGGTGACTATTTTTCCCTGAAAAAATGGAAGAAATAAAAAACACGTGTCGACAACACGTGAAATGTTAAAATCGCATGCCATATACTGATACCACTTTAAATGAGATTTCAACGTTTCGTCACTTATTTATAGCTCGTGTAGCTCGGCACGCAATCAAGTGCTAGCTCAGCACTTTTAAGGTTATTGGTACACAATATTCAAACCCAAATGTAGATTTTTATCCGTTTATTTAATTTAATGCTCAACCGAGATTGGATGCAATTAATTCCATTTCTAATCGATAATGATTGAAATTCGAAAAGGCGCGCAACAGGATTTTAGGATTAGCTCTTCGTATTCGAAAGTTTGATTCCTCATCGTCTTCGTTATACGGGTTTTTTTTTGGGGATAATTAGATCCTCTTTTCCGCTGTCAAGCTTTAATTACTTTAAGCCCGGACCCGGGACATCGGCTTAGACTTTCAGGATTGACTTGTTATTTAGAAGATTTAATCAGTATTGGGCTTCGAAACACACAGGCCTCCATAATAATCTCCCATAGTCTTAATAGGAATTATTCAACCATTACATAAAATACTAGCTATTACCAAATAAGTAATTGAATTCAAAAATCGTATATAGTGAGATTGAAAGGAAGAGGTATTCACCTCACGCAAGGGTGGTTACGATAGCCATCGCGGTTTGTAGCTCTAATTTATGCCCATTAGGGCAGTGGGTCTCAAAGGTCACACACGCAATCCCGAATGGCGATAAATTATCTTTCTTGGGCGAAAATTAATAACAGGTCGATACGGTGAATAAAGAGATGATTTATGCAACTTTTACCTATAGTAAATTAGCACCTATTGATTATGTTTTCTGGTTGTTCTGATTATGAGGTGTTGTTCTGATCGGAGGGGAGCCTTTTGGACAGGTAGATCAGAGTCAATTAGAAAATCAGTAACAAGAATAGATATGGTTCTGAGATTCAATAGGGCAAAATGTAGGACCACCTCATCTTTCTATTATCGCCATTTCGTTGATTTTATCATGTAAGGTGCGTAGGGTTGAAGTTGGTTGAATATTTAACATTTATTATTATTAATATTATTATTATGGATATCAGTGGTAGGCGGATGGGTAAGCGATGAGAGCACTGAGTCTTTTAGTTTTCCACCTTTTGTTCACAAATTAAACACCATAATGCACAAACGTATTTTACCAGTCTCTCATTTATGAATCCAAACGGTTTTTAAATTGATTTACTGATGTTGATGACTGAGTCCATATCGCTGTATCTTAGTAAATTGTTACATCTTTCCTTCTCAAGTTTCTGACTATGTCCTCTGGTATTGGTGGCCTTGGTGGCAGGGAAGAAGTTAATGTTACATGTGTTACTACCGCCACCTTGTTGCGACGGTTGGGTAAGGGAGACTTTGTTTTAGCACTGGTAAATGCCTTTTTTGTACTGCGGTAGCGTGCCACCAAGGACTTTCTTTAAAGTCCCACTGAAAATCTAGGTAACTTTTTCGTAATCTGATTAGATTGCCTCTTCCAGTGTGGGTTCTTGCTACCTGAGCTGTACGCAGTTAGTTGGAATGAAGCTCGAGGTTTTCCAAAGGAAATAAAAGAATCAGTTTTTCTTACCAAACTCTAACAATGGTTTATTGAACAAATGGTAAATTTTGGTAAGGAAATGAAAGAAAAGTAAAGAATATACAGTAAGTTATTAACAATGTTTACTGAAATGAAATGAAAGAAAATACACATGGAGATTTGGAATGATAGGGAGTGAAATCAGTGAATGAGCGTCCTGTATAGAGCGTTCCTTGATGGTACAAGTTACATGAGAAATTAAAGATTAAAATATACAGAAAATAAAGACTAGGTTATAATTCTTAGTGGGTAAAAGTCACGGCATTGTTATTAAGGGTAAGATACATGTTAGAAAAGAGATTTGAGTTGCGAAGCTAACCCAATGGTTTTGTTCTTTACACAGGGGAGAAAATAAATAATAGATAGAAAACAATCATGATGAATAAATTAAAATACTTGAAATTGAAACATTACCCAAGGTCTCGGAAAGAGAGTCAGCAGAAAGACGTCAACACTAAACACCAGAACTTCGTTACAGAACTGAATGAATCTAGGAGACTCACAAGCCCTTTTATATTGGCAGGTTGATGACGATTTTGGGATTCTTTTCGGTCGCAAAACATGCGGTTTGTTCATGGAACCAGGAGTCGAGAGTCGTATTTTAAGACAGAATCAGGAAATTTAGCGACTTAATCTCGTTGGGAAAAAACCAATTAATTGTGTTACGAAGCGAAAAAAAAAAGGATTTTTTAGGCCGTTTTGTTACACATGCATAGTGATCATTCCATATTTTGTGAGTTTTAATAAGGTCTTTCCTGGTTCTTCTTTCTTTTAATGTAGTTAGGTTAAGTTGGTTAAGGCGGCTCTCTTAAGGTAACTCTTTGAGTTCGTTAGTTATCCTTGTGATACGGCGCTGTACAGGGTATTTCCTTATATTTTGACCCCTAGCTTTAGCTATACGAGGTAGAAAAAAATTTCAAGAATGAAAGTTGTGGGGTTTTATGTCTATTATCTTTTGCGAATGTCAATATGGGCAAACGACAGGTTCCAACTGTCACAATGACAAACACTTGCATTTTTCAAATGGAACACCCTGTATATTTTTGGCTAGACTGATAGATTTTTCTTCTGATTCCAAATATACCATATATGTTTGGTTCAGCTATTCAATTTAAAAATGCATTTACCCCTTAATTTAATCTGTCCTGCGCTGGTACTATGTAACGTAACGGATAGAGATCGTTATCCCTATTGCTATATGGCACTTGCTGTCTTCTCTCTTTTCAAAATCAATAGAGAAGGGATGTCAATAGAGACCTGAGAAAATATCTCTAGTCATTACAAACTTCCAGCTCTGGTTTCTTATATCAATGAGGCTTGCTCAATGCAATTTTAATATGAATAGCGCAAAAACAACATATCAACATATATGGTACATTTGGAATCAGAAGAAAAAAAGCCAAAAATATACAGGGTGTTCCATTTATGAAATGCAAATGTTTGTCATTGTGACCTGTTGTTGGCACCTGTCATTTGCCCGTTTTGACATTCGTAAAAGATAATAGATATAAAACCCCACAACTTTCATATTTAAAGTTTTTTTCCATCTCGAATAGCTAAAGCTGTAGGTAGGGGTCGAAATATAAGGAAACAGTGGAAACACTCGTACTCTTTCAACCAGTTCAATGTCTTTGATGTAAAATGGGTTCCAGATGGAATGAGCGTATTCGAATTTTGGTCTTCCATAATCTTTGTAGAGCTTCAGAACCATTTCTTTAGATAGATTCTTGAAGGATTGAATCAGGTAGATTGAATTCGCTTTTTTTGTCATTTCAGTGACGTGTTGTTTTCATATTTAGTCTGATGTGATTCCTGGGTCTTGATTGATTTGAGAGAGGAGCCTTTACAGCCTGCACGTAGATGCGCATGTGGTCCATTGTGTTATCCCCCTATTGGTAGAGCCCTATCTTACCTGAGGAGCCCGCAACTATTAAGAAAGGTGCAGACCCGCTCATGCCGGATATGCTTTATATCATCAGGTTCCAGGAAACTGTACCCGAGGTATCGTAGTTTGCGACTGACGAGGGCGTCACATTCGCAAACAATATGCTTGGTAATTTCATATACTTCGCTGCAGAACCTACATTGCTGGACTATGTGAGGTTGTATGCCCTA